CATATGATGCTTTTTTGTAAAGAGTGGTGGTCACGATGGCTGGCGGGCGGTGGTCGATAGTGGCCGGCCACTGCAGTAGTGGGAAGTGTTTGTTGGATCTTCGCTGCATAAAAAATGTTGTTTTTCCGCTCCTTCTTCATACTTTGATTTTTTTTTTTTTGTCAAGTTCTAGGCCCCCTTCCAAGAAGGAGTATGACTTTATTTATAGAGTCTGGGAGAGGCATCATTGTAAATAAGAAAGAAATTCATATCACTCCATCAAATGACTTAGATGGATTCCCTTGATCAGAAGACATTTGTCAGACATTTGAATGCCTTGAGAATGTTGGAATTGAGTGATCTGGGGCTCGTTGGATTCGTCTCATCGAGACGCTCGCTTCGACTATAAGTTTGTCTTGCTTCAGACTTGTTTTGTCTCGGATTGGACCAACTTTAGTATCATTGTGTTTGTCTCGTCGATTCGCTCAGCTTGACTATAAGTTCGCTAAAATCAAGGTTCTGGATTATATTTTCACTACAGATAAGAAATGAGTAAAATGAGAACCAACCCCTTAGACTGGGGATCATGGCCCTATTTATACTTGAATGTATATATTTTATTTTAGCTTGTCTTAAAATAAAATTAACACGTGGTCTCTACATAATATTAACTCCATAAAAATATTAATATGCCACATAAGCCAAATAATTAATGTTTATTTGATCACAATTTTAGACTTAAAATTAATTAAGATAGCATATAATGTACAATTTTATTGTATATGGAACCACACATAAGTTTTTGTAACACATGAGACGTTGACCTTTGTGTCTGTGGTATGCAAAGACCTTTTAGAAGATGACATATGCCGCCATTATTGGTAATGACATTTAAGAAGTTTGGTGGACATCAACATTGGCATTGAAGACATGCATATGCCTTGTAAGCAATTTCATTCATTCATATTGTTGATGCCATTGGGCAATGAGGCTAGCATGTGTTAATGTTAGAGTTCATGACTTGTACCGACCTTTTAAGTATTGACATACAACATAGCATGCATCTGCCTAATAAGAAATAGCACATGTCAACGACATTCATTGCTTTATCGGCAATAGTGGGTGATAAAATCATTAGGTGTCTGTGGTTAAAAAAAGCCTTAGTTGATTGGTATAGGCTGGCATCAGTTGTCTGGTTATTGTGAGACTATAATGATTGGGAGACTATAAATATGTAATATTTGAAGATCATTTAACCTTTCAATTAATATTATGAAGTCCTAAATTATGTTACATGTGCTCGATTTTCACTTGTATGTATTCAAATGAGATTGTTTTTAGTGTATATAAATTTGTCTCGTTGAGATGTCTAGAAATATAATTTGGATGGTGTTAAATTTTATTTTAATTTATCAACTCAAATATTGTATCAATATTTACAGAGGCGGACATAGGTTGGGTTCCGGGGGCACCCCGCCACCCCCGTGCTCTAAGTTTTAGAGTTTTAATAAACGATAGTAACACTTCTATCTTTTGCCCCCCATAAAATATTACTACCCCTCTTACGATGCCTTTGCCTCTTTGGAATTTCCACAAACTGGGAGCGAAATCTTGGCAAAGCACAAAGGCAAGGCAAGGTGGTAGTTAGGAAGATGGAAAGGTGCGATGCAGAATGGAAGTACTTTAAGGAGGGAGAGGAGATCATGACCAATGAGATGATCAACAGTGTCGTATTGTAGTTAATGGAGGAGCTGACAGATGACTTACTTGAATTAGGAGCGTGATTAATTGTGAATTAATTACGACATCAAACAAAACTCTTGTCTGATGGAATTAATAAATTTAATATCTCATACTGAGAAAATGAATGACTACTCCATGAATACATATGCTTGTAAATTTACACTTAAGAACTTTTGTTATTCTTGTGTTTATAATGGATGAGAAAAAATTGGGAAATGACCATTTAGAAAAAATGAATGGTTTGCTTACATACCACTCAATTCTAATCTATTTAGATCTCAAACACCTAAATTTTAATTATTACATACATATCACCTTATATATACATGCATGGAATGGAGTATTTCACTTTCTCAAAATTAAAATAGCTGTATTTGTGATATGAAAGATTTTCAGAGTGGTATAAATATGTTGGATATATAAATACATAGAAATATGTTGATTTGACAATAATTATCATTTCGTGATTATAATAAATCAACTAAATCAAGAAATCAAGAAAATTTTTTGGAACCATTTCTTTTCCTTACAAATCATAATTAAATGTGTGTTTGGGGCAGCTTGTACTTATCCAAATAAACCGCTTATCTTGAAATGCGGACCGCGCGGTGCGACCCGTATTCCGCATTTAGAGTAAAAAATCAACTGTGTTTTCGGATAAATTGCTCAAACACAGTTTTCAAATGGTGATGGAACATTTTCAAAAAGCCGCCAGAGCAAATAAGTTGCCCCAAACAGAGACTTAAGAAATGAAAAAATGACCCCCCACGGGTAAAAAAGTAGTTTGGATGAAGTTCTGATGTATAAATATGTATGATTAAATATTGGTATATTTGTAAATTCAGAAAGTTTTAAAATCATTTCGACCCAATTTTAATTACAAAACTATCAGCTCAGAATTGACCTACTGGGTGAAACGAAATCTGATCTACACATCTACTTTAAGTTCTTTACCTAAAACAAATCATACGCTAAGTTAAGAAGCGTTAGAACAATAAAAAAGCAAATAGTTTCTCCTCTCTATAAAACCAAACCAATGGAAGTTGGGACTTGGGAAAGCATATCCCGCGCGGTCAAACTCCATTCGAACTGGAACAGGCTCGATGCCCTTCGCCTCCGCCACTAGAAGACGCCATTTATCATCCCTTTCTTCTTCTTGGGACCCAGCCAACTCCATCGTCCTTTCCGAGGCCTTAATCGTCGCTCTGAGCTTCTCAATTGTTCAGGAGAGACAAGAAACTCCTCGGCTAATCCGCTTCACCTCTTTTTTAGAACGCTGAGCTCACAAAGTTTGTAGCTTTTTTTTTTTCTTAGATGAAGTTCTGGTTCTCAACCTGTACCGGCCTTGAGGACTTTGGTGTATTCAAGATTTAATTTTTCCCTTGCTGATTTGCAGTTTATTATTGATTTTTGTTGGGATTGAGTTGGGATTGTGGAGTTAGGTTTGGGGAGGAGTTGAGGTTTAACGCTGGGATTTGTTGGATTTGATGTCGTCGATATCGGTGGAAGAAGATGGTGGGAGAGGAAGCATGTGGGATTTGGATCAGAAGCTTGATCAACCCATGGATGAAGAGGCCGGAAAGCTTAGGAATATGTACAGAGAGAAGGTATTTTCCCTGTCCGTTTCTTCTTTGGCTGAATTTCAGTTAGCTGTTACTGGCTTTTGTAATTTTCTCATTCTTGAGGCTTTTTTCCTTTTTATCTTTTTCTATTTTCATGGAAAGACTATGAACAAACCTTGGTTCCAATGGAGCTCCTTCTGAATTTGTTTTGTGTTTTTTTTTTCTTTTTCTTTTTTTCTGTGGTTATAGTTGTTGATTGCCGAAGTTTATTGTCCTGTCAGTGTTTGGAGAAATATTTTGGCAAGATTTTGTTAGACACGAGAAATAAGGTTAGATTTGACATAAGGTTATTTCGGTTGTTTTCTCTGAAATAAGGTTAGATTTGACATTATTGTAAAAAAAAACCAATTTTTATAAAAATTCTGTAGCTAACCCTTTAGGTTCCTGTAGTTGTTTTATTTATTTTTTATATTGGACTTCTAATCATTCATTCTGTCTGAAGTGCTAATTTATTGGGTCTTTGACATTTTGCCTTAATCTGTATCTGTCAGATTATTGAATTTGTTACTATTCTCAGAGGCCCAAACGGTTATAAAATGGCAATCTCTGGTTCATTATATTGGAAGCTAGACATTTAATTTCTATGCAGTGAAGCCTCCAAGCAATTTTTCTGAGTTAAAACTCATTTTTCATGATAAAAAGAAGTTGTCATGAAAGCAGTTTTTTGATATTCAGTGACATGTTTCATTTACTGTTTCAATCATTTATATTAGAAAATAGAATTTTGTCCTTAAGAAAAGTTCTTTGTTATTCTTCTTTTCTGTTATCTAAATTAATTTCATTCTGAGGAAGGATCTGAGGCACCTTAGTTTGGAGGAGAAGATTATTTCTCCAAGATTAGGATGCTGAATCACATGCTTTGTGATTTATTGCTTATCATTTAAAAAAAAAGAATTTTTTTTTATTTCTTTATGGATCATTTGTTCTTTGAGTCTAAATGTACTCTGATAACTTGGTAAAATTGCTGAAATACTTATGCAGCTTTCTATTTACTCAATAATAGCATTTTTATTTACTGCTGTTCTTTGTGTGCTGGATGAAAAAAAAAATCTTCTTGATCAGTTTGGCATGTACTAGCTTTGTTTATTAAAGCGTTCTATGATATGCCTTAGTAATTTAACATTTATTGGTCTTTCTTTGCAGAAATTCTCTTCACTGTTAATTCTACGACTTGCTTTCCAGAGCCTTGGCGTGGTGTTTGGAGATTTGGGAACATCCCCGTTATATGTATTTTACAATACATTTTCTCATGGGATAAGTGATCCTGAAGATGTTATTGGAGCTCTTTCTCTTATTATTTACTCTCTAACTCTAGTTCCTCTCCTCAAATATGTTTTTGTGGTGTTGAGGGCGAATGACAATGGTCAAGGTAAAGTGTTATGTCGTTATTCTTTTAATATTTTTATTATAAAATGTTTTACTTGGATGGATGCTCACAAAGGACTCTTCTGCTGTTCAGAGTATTTAGAAATATTTTTTCAACTGAAACTGGAATCTAATCTTTGGATAAAACTCATCCCCCAGGCTTGCTTTTAATATGATTTCTTACTCAACTTTGAATGAATCTAAAAGAATTCTTTTCCGTCTTCTTTTGATTGATTGTATGGACTTAAATAGGTAAACAAACTTTATTATTTTGGTCGCATGCTGGAATGGTGTTCGGGCGTGGGTAGAATTGATTTGATAAGTCCTCATTCTCAAGGGAGAGAGTGAGAGTTGGAAGCTATTTAACTTCCTATTTGAAGGGGATATTTGTAGAGGAGAGGGTAAATGATAGATAAACTAACGGACATGGATGGTGGATGGTGAAGACACTTCACCTTTAAGATTTTTGTTGGATTAGAGTGTCATTGTATAAGGGTATTTTGGCCCTCTAACTCACTAAAAGGTTAGAAGGCAAAACATCTAATCTCTATGTTGCATGTGAGACCCTTCCACCTTTGGTGTGATTAATGGAGTGATCCCATAGGCTTTATGATCCATATTGTTGGAGATCAAGATTAGGATGTTGGTGGTATCGTTATTATGTGGAGCCGAATTGTGCTGATAAATTTCCATCTCAAAGCCCTCAATTTTCATTGATCAAACTAGGCAATGAGTTTGTCTTTTGAAGAAAGGATAGAAATTTTGTATAAGTATGATTTTCATGCATCTCTTTTAAAATTTAATGGATTATTTGATCTTTATAGAACCATGAGTGTAGGCTTAAGTGAACCCCAAAATTTTTTTTTTTTTTTTTTTGTTTTTGTGTGTGGTTCTTGATATCTTTTGTATAATTATTTTGTGATTCATCATATTGTTCCTTAGGTTAAGGACACTCTTTTTCCTAACAACCCTTTCCCCTTAATGCCGAATTCAAAACACACGAATAAAAATTAGAACTCAATTTAGGTCAATCCTTTCAATTTGGAGAGAGACATAAACTTTCATTGTCTAGATGACTTTTGTTATTTACTCCAGGATGTCTAACCATGGTTAATTTTACACCGCTAAAAATGCTTGATTTACCCTGTTAAGAAATAGAAACATTGCTCACGCATTAATTTAACACCCCCCCCCCCCCCCACC